GAATTCTTTGATGCTCATGGTTGCGATGTGCTTTCTTTTTGTTGCAGACAACCCGGCGCAAGTGCCGCCGCTCACCCCGGGGACCAACAAGAAGATGACAGAGGCCCTGAAGGCCTCTTTCGCTTCTTGGGAAAAGGACCAGATAAACCGGAACATCCCCAAAGGTAAGCCATGGCCCAGTTCTTCCTCCTCGTGTGTGCGGTAAGGGGTGCGCGCACGCGCCGGTACGCCACGCGACGCCACGACACGCTAGGCCGCCCCGGAGAATGTGTGTTTGTGTGGCGTGGCGTGTTGCGCAACCGAGAACTAGTTCACTCTTGGAATCCGCGGCGGAACGGCTTAATTCCGCCATTCCGGTCTCCCGCCCGCGCCGCCCGCGCATCACATGCGGCTTCCGCTCCTTCCGCTCCCCTTCCTCGTCGCGGTCGTCGTCGGCGTCCCGGAGCCTCCGGACGGCGCATCCGGCGCCGGCCGGCAGCGGCTCCACCTGTTGTTGTTGTTGTTGCCCGCGGTGCTGCTTCCGGGGTCGAGCAGGAGGCGTTGACACCGAGCGCGTGCCGTGCTTGACGTCGGCCCCCGCGCGCCGGAGGGCAGTCGCATCGCGCTCGGTGCGGACGAGTCTCGGTACTTGAACCGGGCCGCGGGGAGCGCAATGTTTGGGTTCGGCCCGGCGGGCGCGGCGGGCGCGGCGGGCGGGACAAAGGCGGGCGTGGGAAACAAGAGAGCCAGAGCGGGCCGGGCGGGCCGGGTCAGCCGGCTCGCCGCTGAGGTCACGGCCGTCCCCCTGTGGTCGCCGCCGGTGACGCTCCTGTTGCTCCCAAGCCCCGGTGGACGCGGCGACACCGGGAAAGGGAAAGCGCCAGTGTCAATGATCTCGACGCATGACGCACTCTCGAACCCACATTATTTTATTTCTTTACATTTTTTTTGTCGGCCTGCGTAAGTCGTTGGGAGCGAGCCTTGTTGTAGTGCGTGCGCGCCTGCGCCCCGCGGCGTGAGGCAACTCGGAAGGAAGCGATACACGTGTGCGATACGGGGAGGGCGGGCGCGAGAGCGAGCGAGCGGGGGGCGACTGGAGTGTTTGGGCGCGATGCTATGCAGCCGGGCAGCGTCCTCGCGGCGGCCAGCAGCAGCGGCCAGCAGCAGCAGCGGCCAGCAGCAGCAGCGGCCAGCCTTGCGTGTCAGGTGATGGCCTCCCCTCTCGCTGATTATATAAACACGACTGACCGTAATGCAGAGCGAGTAACGATCCCGCTCCTCCTGGCCCCA